TGCACCACAGTCCGCTTCCCAGCCGACTTCTCCCCTGTGGTCGGCTCCTCTGCCGACTGCCTGGTTGCCGACTGCTCCATGGTAGGCTTCACCGCTGCCTACTCCCCTGTCGGCAGCTGCGCTGCTGGTGCCTTCTTCTCCGGCTTCACCCAAGTCGGCTGCATCTCCTCGACCTGCTCCTCCCCTATCAACGCCGACTTCACTCCCACGTTGACTTGCACCTCGCCACGTCGGCCTCTGGAGATGCTCTTGGTCGGCGCCGAAGGCGACGTCCCTCTTTTCCCCTCATCGCCGGAGGCCGACACCGGAGTCAGCCCGCGCAAGACAGCCACGAGGGGAGGGGTAGGGGGGAAGGAGGACGGACGACCTCGGCGTCCTCATCAGCAAGCTCACCGACCTCGGCGAGCAGAGGCAGCGTCGCCGTCGAGGTGTCCGTCGGCGGGTGGACCGATGCCCGCCCCGACGCCGGCCCGTGCTCCGCCTTTCACACCTCCAGCGACGTGCTCTCATAGAAGCACCACTTCCGACGTGGTTGTTAGAATCCCAACCACTAGACCATTGGGATAAAAGGGCTTGTTAAGTAGCGGGTCAGTGCGCCCATAACCCCCCAGGACAACGAGCCTGTAACCCTTCCCTAGGATCAATAGGGGATCACCAGTGGACCTCTGAAAGTGGTGACGACAGAGTTGTCGGCGATGTCGAGGAGTTTCCAGCCCTTGCTCTCCTATGACAAGCCAAGGTAAAGGCCCCACCTGGCCTTCGGCTTAAGCTTCCTATCACACTGCTGCTCGGGGACCAAGAACTGGGCCACGCAGCCCCACACCCGCGCCAGCGACAAGTCGGGCTTCTTCCTGGTGAGCAGCTGGTACGACGTCGTCCCCGGCGGAAGTGTTGACCTCTCAAGGCAGTTGCGGACCCAAACTGCCTACCACAGAGTGAGTGGTGCTGAACGCCCATGTGCAGCAGCATCGTCCGCACCGACTCCACCACCGTCCTCATCTCCCGCTCCGCCATGCCTTTCTGCTGCGGGGTGTTTGGGCAAGTCAGGTCGTGGACGATCCCCTTGGCGTTCACAAAGTCGCTGAACTGCTTCGCGAGGAACTCCCCTCCTCGGTTGGAGGGCAGCATCAACACCGACTTCTTTGTCTGCCACTCAGCCACCACCAGCCACTGCACGAACTCCTGCAATGCATCCGACTTCCTGGCGACCGGCCTCACCCAGCCGTAGCGGGTCTTGCGGTCCTTCAGAAACAAGAAGTACAGGCTGCCATCCTTGGCAGCCACTCGGAAAGGCCCGCACAGGTCGATGCGCATGACGGTCAGCACGTCATCGGCGTCGGAGCCCTGGTTGGGGAAGGTGTGCTGTGCCAGCTTCCCGCCAACACATGAGACACATGGCGAGCCGGCGCCCGACGCCGGCTTGAGGTCTAGCCCAATGGCGACCTCGTGCTTTGCCGAGCTCCTAATGGTGTCCATGCCAACATGCGCAAGCCTCACATGCAGCCTGTCCGGGGTCGACTTCGTCGCCGAGACGATCGCCCGAAGGGCCATGACCTTCGTCGGGGGCGCTGTCAACCTCGTCAAGCAGGGACGCAGGTCGGTGCAGAGGACTCGCCCTGTATAGGACGCCCGACCAAGGACATCTCCCGCCACCGAGACAAGTAACATCCCGTTGCCATCCTCTTGTAGCTTCACACCGTTCTCTTTCAGCTGCCCGGCGGAAAGTAAATTCGCGCCAGCGAGACGATCGGCTCCATGACGCCGACCAGCGAGCACAACGCCGTCTTGTCGTCCCGCCCCTTTCCGCCAGCAGAGGAGTCGGCGTCCTTCGCCGAGGTCGACGCGGACGTCTGATTCTCCTTGCGCGGCTTGTTTCCTCCTCGACAAGGACGACAGCTGCTAGACCTTCCGCGGCCTCCCTTGGCGTCGTTGTCGTCAGAGTCGCTACAGTCGGGGCACTCATAGGAGAGGTGGTCGAGGTCGCCGCACAGCAAGCACTCCCGACGCCGACTTCCTCGTCCTCGACCGCCGTCCTTGGCCGACTTCTCCTTGTCCACTTCCTTGGCCGGCTTCCTGCCATTGCTACCACCGCTGCCAGACTGCCCGCGTTGCCTCGGTCAACCTCCTTGCTTCGCCGGGGCAACGTAGTTCACCTGCCCCAGGAGCTCCCGGGACTGCTCGGCCTCATGCATCGCCTCGTCCTGCATGATGTACGAGGTCAGGGTGTCCTCGTTGAGTGTCGCCCACGTGCTCGGTGCCATCGACAGGCGCTTCAGCAGGTTGTAGCTGCTCGGGAGTCCCTGCATGACGAGGGTGACGTACGACGCTTTCGAGTACTGGGCACCGGCCATCCTTATGGTGGCGAGAATTCGCCGAGCCCGGTTGTAGTAGTCAGTCACCGTCTCCTAGTCACCCATACACAGGTGCGTCAGCTGCCCCTCCAGCTGGGCGATGAACAAATCGTCGGTGACTTGGTAGGTCGATTCGATGAAGTGCCACACCCGGTGGCCGGCGTCGAGGTACTCCCTGCACCACTTCAAGGCGATCTGCACGCCCGGCGAGCAGCAGCGCGAAATGACTGTGAAGGTCAGCAGTTGCATGGTGCGAAACTCCGCTCGCAAGTCGCGGTGGTGCTCCTCCGGCGTCGCCACGGTCCCTCGGGCAAAGCCGATCAGCTCGACCATCTCCAGCTGGGGCTTGATGGCTTCCTTCCACGTGAGGATATCGGGTCAACCAACGAGCGGCGGGGTGACCAAGTTCCTGTTCGGCGTAAACTTGAAGTAGCCATAGCTTAGTGCAATCCCGCCTGCTATCACGTGGGTCGCCGACATCGGCAACTATCCACTTTGACGACCTCCGACGTCGCCTTGCGAGAAGCCTGCAGCCGCCCAACGACTGCATCCCTCGTGCCAGAACGCCGCCGACCTCATAGGTGTGAATCAGACCTCGGTGTCTCGACGTGCCTCCCGCACTGCTGCCGACTTGGCCACCACCGGCGTTGACGCCCACGTCTACGCTGCCCTCGGTTTCACCGGTCGAGTAGAGACAGGCCAAGAAGAGTGCTCCGTCGCCCACATAGCACGGATGCCAGCCTCGACGATCGCCCAGGGCAGGTCGCCATAGTCGTTTGCCTCATGACGTCTCCTCGTGTTCTCCAACCGTGCCTCCAGGGTGTCCACCACCCTTGCGTCACCTACGGCGCCTACCATAGTGACTACCGTACAGCTACTGGCCTACAACACGCAATAGGTAACTGACCACTACGTTGACCTGACTGAAAGGTAAGTCGTGTGCCGTCCACGCTCACCGCACCATGCGGGGATAACTACTACAACGGGAGCTAGACTACGGGCTAGGCACGGGGCAAGAGTGATCGTAGCGTATGCTTACTTGGTCGTTTCCAAGTGCTCATATTACTTGCTAGTTCACGGGGAGAATTCGCAAGAGTTTCACTAGGAAAAGATGACAAGAATGATACAATAAGGTTGGCAAGACAAGACTACATCAGAGCTAGCAAGCAAGCAAGTCCACTGTCAGCGCAGCATGGTCGACCGTGTTCCAGCACTGCTTGGTCGACCGCACTCCAGCAGTGCAAAGTCGACGGCGTGCCAATGCTGCAAGTCGACAGCGTCCAACATTGCTCCTGCATGACAGCAGCGCACCTACTTTGCAGGTGCTCGCAGGTGATTGGCGTGTCGTGCCTTGTCATCTGGGAAACGCATACACCAAATCAACCTCCTACTCACGAATGCATTTGATCAGCCACGTCGACCTCGGGATACCACCACCAAGGTCGGCCTCGCCACAAACACCTGGGCAACTGGCGCGTGCCTTCGCAGAACATCGTCAATTAGGTAACCAGGTCGACCGAGCAACCACGTCGACCAACTGCTCCTTCACGTGCCCGTCGACCACCAAGTCGACGACCACTTCCAGTCGACCTCACCAGGTCAACCACACCCTTGGTCGACCAGCTCCAGGTCGACCAGCACATCTGTCAGCCGACCACACCCAGTCGGCTACTCTAGGTCGGCGTCACCAAGTCAACGCCCTTTCTAAGTCGGCGCCGACTTCCAAGCCGACCTCTTGAAGTCGGTGATCTCCCAAGTCGGCAACCTCGCAAGTCGGCGACCTTGCAAGTCAGCGCCGACTTCCAGGTCGGCGCGCCAGATCGCCGACCACCAGTTGAAGCCGGCTGCTGGCTTCCCAAGTCAGCGGCATTATAGTGGCCCCATGCAAGTCGACCAAACCCGTTGACCAGCTCGCCCAAGTTGGCGTTGCCCACTCCTACAAGTCGGCTGCACCTCCCGTACACCCAACCGCGAAGTCAGCTCCGCCCAAGCGAGAATGGGCCCATCATCAACTCCCATTGGCACAGACATGCCGCTTGCGCACAAGCACATGCACGTGCCCCGCCGCCATGCCCCCTGCACGGCGAGGCGAAATAGGTTGGAGTTGGGGGCGGAGAAGGGGGCATGAAATGCAAGCATGATGCCACCCACCCAGATGCCAATCTCGCCCCACCTGGGGCTTGTCCCTCCCAATCATGTGCATGTGGTGCATGTGGTGCATGTGGTGGATGTGGTGTATGTGGTGTATGTGGTGTATGTGGTGTATGTGGTATATGTGGTGTATGTGGTGTATGCGGTCCCTGCCAGCACATGTAAGCTTCCACCTTCCCATGTCATGAACAGCAGGGTTGTTGCCAGCAGAAGAGTTTCTGTCTGTGTTCTATAGATTGGGGAATGTATTGATATGGAAAAAGGATTGTATTTGCAATACATGCAATACACTTTCTGCTATGCTTTGACAAGTAGGAAGTAATATTTCCGTCATCAAAGTATCAGGAGATCGTGGTGCAGCAGTAAACTTCAACGCGCCAGCCGCAGGAGTTGTGGCAACACCACAACGAGAGAAGCAGTCCGCTGCCTTCTTCTGTGCGCCGGGAGGAACAGCTGATGCTGGGGGCAGTGTCGTTGTTGGTTGCCGTGCCGCTCCTGCTAGGTGCTGCCTGCCCTGAAGGCAGCAGGGCAATGGCGTTTGCAGGAACAGCTGAGGAAGAATGCTCACCCTAGGAATGTAGGGTGATGTGGGGGAGCGCATGGCAAAGGATGCCATGTGCTGAATACGAGTGAGAAAGTGCTTAGCACTGGAGAGTCCAGAAATCACGAACTAGGACATTAGATGCAGATCCGAGCAAGGCAAATGATAGAGAACTTGGAAATGGGACAAGTTCTTTTCGCGCACCATGTGAAAAGTGAGCTCGGTGAGACACATCTTATTGGTGAAGTACAATCCATACAGCTGAACATCTTGATATGTCTACGAGAAACATTACTAGCAACGATTGGCCAAGTTATTATGGTCGGTGCTGGCATCACCTGAGTACTAAACTGCAATGTAAACCAGCAAGGACAACGGCTAGTTTCGCGCCTTGTATGAAAGTGGCCATTCACATCATTGAGCCACCCTGTTATTCGGAGATCCCGCGACGCCATCCGGGCTCGTGCGCGTTACGCCTTCCACGCGGCCTTGGCGCTCTGCGCCTTGCCAAGGGCGGACGCGAGCAGGCTCTTGTCGGCGCCGCCGGCGGGGAGCATGATGCTCACACCGTTGATGGTGGCGATCGAGTTGTCGATCTGCCCCGCCACCAGCGTGCGCTGCCCAGTGCGAATCAGAATGGCGGCGTTGCGCAGCGCCGCCGCCGTGTCCGTGAGGCTCTTGACGTACGTCTTGACGGAGAGCTTCGCCTTGGCGCTGTCCACGTCCACCGCCGCCGCATCCAGCAGCGATACCACCTTCGAGTCCGACCCGCTCAGCTTCACCGCCGGCTTCCCCGCGCCGGGCGTGCCGGGCTTGCCGGAAGTGGCGGGCTTGCCAGGAGTGGCGGGGGTTGTGGGAGTGGGGGGAGTCTTCTTGCCGCCCTTCTTGTTGGGAGTGGTGGGAGTGGAAGGCGAGGGAGTGGGAGGAGACTTCTTCGACTTCTTGTCCTCCTTCTTCTTGTCCTCCTTCTTGTCCTTCTTCTTCTTGTCCTTGTCCTCGTCATCATCGTCGTCGTCGTCGTCGAGAATCCTCCTCGTCGCAGCGTCGTCGCTGAGAGCATTTGTGGCGTCGAGCTGAGCCAGATCGCCGGACATGGCAGCGGCAAGCGCGGACGAGGCAGCCTCGGGGACGGCGAGCTCGGCGGAGGTGTTGAGGCAGAGCGACGCCAGGACGAGCGCCACCAGAGGCAGTGCACAGGCTAGCGCGGACATTCTCGAGTACGCCATGGCTATTCTTCGGAAGCAGGCAGACTATTCGATAAAAGGAACAGGAGCCGTTGAAGGGCTTGCTTTGTGAAGCTGGGTTGAGATACGATGAGGAATGGAGTTCATGGGCGGAATTTATGGAGAAGAGTTAGCAGGGGGCTGTGGTGGGAGGAGGTGGAGGCTGGGAAGGCATTTCTCAATTCTCGATTGAGATGGATTGTGCGGCTCGGAAATGTTGGAGGGCGACTCTGAGAGGGGGTTGCTCGCTTGCCTGCGAGGCTTGACGGATAGCACGTCGTACGCGACCAGGCATACCGTTCAGTGCGACGGGGATGGTTCGGTCGTCCAACTGTGGCGTGGTTCTCGCTGGGTGGTGCTGCTGTGGCAACGAAATAACGTTGGCGAAGAACTGGCGTGACGAAATCGTGGGCGATGAGCATGAGTGGGCTGGGCAGGCTGTGAAACTCGCGCGAACGACGACTTTCGTGGTGTTATTCAGCACCTCCGTGTCATCACGCTCACAAGGAATCGCACATCACCCTTCCATCGCACATCCCTAAAAATCGGATGTGTGGCGACGGGACTAGATGTATGCACACCCATTCCATGTTGTTTGTTACGAGTGAAATTGAACGAGCGAGAATTTGTTATGGGTTGCAAGGAAGACATTCCTCGGCGCGCACTTCAACATCGCGTACAGCAGCAGCCGTTCTTCGCCCGTTACTGCTAACGGGGCTTCGCCGACTTCGCGAGCACTGTTTCACCAAACCTCGCACTGCTGGCCCGGCCGTGTCGGCCTATGCTTGGGACTAGCCCGAGCCTCGTAGACTAGCTAGCTCGCACACACCGCGTTACCGTTTGCATGTTTCGCGTATAAATGTTCGCTCATGCCTTCGCTCACATTTTGTATTCGTTTGACACCTTAGTGCAATCCTCGCTACCTCGATTCATTGCACCCGTAACACTTGGTATTCAAAGCCTCTTTCTTTTCGGACCGCGCATCTCCGCACCCCAAGAAATCAACTTTTGATTTTTCACTCGAAGGGACTCATGCACCTTAGCCCCTAGGAGCCGCTGTCCTTGCGTTCTCTCGTAAACGCGTGCAGCCTCGACTGCGCCTAGACTAAGCCAAGCCAACGTCCTTCGTAATGGCCCAGCACATCAACGTCACAACTATTGGAAACAATCGGTCCTAAGCGCCTCTGTCGTGTCGAAACACCAAGTCAGAAGCGAAGCGAAGTATATCGAAGCACCGGCGAGTCAACCCTCGGAGGTTGAGCGGTTGCTAGAGGTTACGCGAAAGTCAAAGGTCAGCGACATTTGACCTGACAAATACAGCGCGACAGCAAGGACACACAACTGACTCGTTACAGAGCAGTTGCCCGAGTCGTTACTGTATCGAACCCCAACAGCAACAGTAAAGTAGTTATAACCGTATCTCTTCGTATTCCTTGTACTCTTATTGTTGGTGTGGTTTGTGGCTGTCACGCGGAGCGCCAAACGGCGGCTGCTACGCGGAGCACCAAACGGTGCCGTCGTTGACCTAACGGGACTAATCTACAAGCTATGAACGGTGCGGAAGGGAGAAAGCTATGGCAGCAAGGAGTTTGAGAAGAATCGGGAGAAGAAAGGAAAGGAAGAAAGGGAAATGTGTGGAAGACCTAGTTGCGATGTGCAGGAAGTGTCGAGATTGTTCGTGGCTGGATTTGTGCCAACCACAACGCACCGTAATCGGTTCGCTGGTTTCGGTGTATGTTTCGGTTACCACGCGGTTTCGCGTGCGACGCAATATGAGATGCGGCAGACGCGTTACACGAGTCGCACAGTGCTGAAATTGGTTGGATATATAATGCTTGTTCTGTTTTGCAATGTCATTACCAATTCCAGTGAAAACCCAACTGAAAATCCAGAGACTAAGTGCTGAAACCTGTCAACCTACATAGTGGCCAGACACTATCGCCAAGTAACAGCTGGTATCAGAGCCTCGTTATAGGCACATTTGGATTCGTAATTAGCACTATTAATGCGCGGAACGACTTGGCGAATTTCGTCGACGAAAGGCGAGTTTCAAAGGCATGGGAAACGGCAGCGGTGAAGCGAGCTCTGGTTCCTCGGTGAACATAGACGGCTCCTAGCTGCAAACACTCTTGGAGGCCCTGGTGCAAGGGCAAACGGTGGCCAAGCCAACGATAGGCTTGAGCGAGGCGCAACGCTTCAATAGAAGCGATTATGGCACGTGGAGATTGAAGTTCATCCGGCGTGCACGCGAGGTGGGGCTCTGGAGACTCTACCATCCGACGAAAGGGGAGGAAGATGCGCCTCCATCTGAAACGGCGTCTGCACAAGTCAAGGCAGCATACCGGAGAAAGAATGAACAAGCTTACTTTCAGTTGTGTCATTCGGTTTCGGATGCTATCGCTGTGGGCCTTGACCAATTCGCGGACCACCTGAATTCTGCCGAGAAGGCATGGAGCTATATGGATGCGGTGTACCTCGGGCGGAGTGACACGAACCTGACTGCGATAAAGAGGAAGCTACTGCTGCTCGGGATGGAACCAGCAGAGAGCGTCATCGATTACGTTAATCGTGCTAAAAGTTACAACGAGTGTCTAGCGGCTATGGGGGCAGCCGAACCGGAAAGCCATATGGTCAGCTACATCATCAACGGCCTACCTAAGGACAGGGTGGGAGAGAAAGGAGTACTCACCTGCAATCCACCGAAGGACATCACCCGCTTGCTTGAGATGCTGCAGTCGCTCGAGCAAATCCGCTACAACGGAGTGCAGAGGGAGACGCTCGTGAAATCTGGCGAGGAGAAACCGGCATTGCTGAACGCCTCTAAGGCAGCAAGGGGATTCGGCCCTGGCCCTTGCTTTCACTGCGGGAAGAAAGGGCATAAGGCAGCAGAGTGTTACTCCAATCCACACAGCCGCAACTTCAAGAGAAAAGTGAATAGCAGTGACGCAGCAAACAGGGAAGGAGTGAGACCACGAGGGTCGTTTCCTGGAAACTGCAATCACTGTGGCAAGTACGAACACAAGGCGTTCGAGTGCTTCACCAACCCAGCCAGCAAGAACTACAGGGGAGGACAGCAGCAAACAACAGCAACACCAAGGATAAATGCAGCTGAAGCGGGGAAAAGCGAAGGTGACGCGATCTTGGGAGGCGCCCAGAAAGCGAACGTCGCGCGAGCTTCTGAAGTGTGTTTGTTGGCGAAGGGGCTGAAAGAAACAAGCTGGTTTCTGGACAGCGGTTGTACACAGCATATGACGCATCGTGCGGCCTGGCTACAGAACTTTCGACCTTCAAACATACCTTGCGTTTTGTTGGGCGATGAGGGACAGCTACCTGTCAAGGGAGAAGGGGACTTGGTGCTGCAAAGTCCGTACGGGGAGCTGAAACTGGACAACGTCCTCCTTGTGGAGAAGCTGACTTTGAACCTGATAAGCCAATCACAATTGGACAGCAGTGGGTGCAAGACATTTAGCGACAACGGCAAGCTTTGGGTGTTTGACTCCGATTGGAAGGTGGTTGCGGAAGGAGCACGCAAGGAAGGGTTGTATGAAATGTGTTTGAAGGAGTGCAACAAAGAAGCAGAGACAACCTTTCAAGCTGAACCAGAGGAAGGGAAGGTGGCACGGGAGGAGCTACGTGCCATGCTAAACAAGATACCGGTGGCGGTGCTACAGCAACAAACTCCACCACTAGCCGCAGCAGTGGAGGGAATCACTATGGAAACACTCCATAGGAGGATGGGACACGCGAGCGACCAACGCATTAACGAGCTCTTGGATAAGAACATGGCAGTGGGAGTGAAAGTATCCAAGGGGGAAAAGGAGAAGCTGAAGTGTGGCGCTTGCGTGGAAGGAAAGTCTACGAGGACATCACACCCTAAGCATGGTACCCGGCAGCCATATGAAACGCTTGAGATTGTTGCGGCGGACATATGCGGACCTATGCGTGTGGCATCCCGGCACGGCAGCAAGTACTTCATAACGTTCACCGACCTTGGGACGAGGCATACATGGGTGACTGAGATCAAGGAGAAATCTGAAGCTCTCTCGAGCTTCATAGATTGGTTGGCGGAAGCAGAACGGCAAAGCGGAAAGGAGCTCAAGTGGCTGCGAACGGACAATGGAGGGGAATTTCTCAATACGGACTTCAACTCCTACTTACGCACTAAGGGCATTCGACGCCAACTTACCATACCCTACACCCCGCAACATAACAGCGTGGCGGAGCGAGTGAATCGATCGTTGTTGGAGAGCGTTCGAAGCATGCTATCGGATAGTGGGCTTCCCCTATCCTATTGGGGCGACGCTTTGGGGATGGCGTGCTGGCTGAAAAATCGCTTACCTACTACAGGACTTGCAGCGGACATCACGCCTCATGAAGCGTTTTACCATCGAAAGCCGAGCTTGGAGTTCCTGCGCGTGTGGGGCTGCATGACTCAATACCGTGAACCGGCTGGTCCCGATCATAAACTCCTGCCACGGACCAAGTGGGGGGTTCATTTGGGCATATGTCCAGTGAGCAAAGGATGGGTGATTAAGAATGTGGACAGCGGCAAGGTGACAGCAACCCGTGACGTCATTTTCTACGAAAATCTCAACTACCGAGAGTGGAAGGACGGGGCAAAGGCTCCTGCAGCAACTGACAAGTCTACTAACCCTCAACCAGTCCAAGAATTGCTGGGAAGTGGGGCTGATGGGATAGGGACAGCAAGTGATGTGAGTGCAGCGGAGCTAGAGGACGACGACTCACCCGTGACTTGGGTGTGGGAGACTACCCCGACAACTGAGGGTGACACGGTAGCGGAACCTGAAGGGCAGCCGGGTGATGCAGCAACTAGTGGCCAGCAAAGTGACCAAGCAAGGAATGACCAGCAGCCGCCAGCTACTAGTGAAGCGAGTGATCCATGGCGGCTGTTTGATGCGGACAGCAGTGACGAAGCAACGGGGAGATTGATAGCTTGCTAGAAGAAGGTGCGATATTGATTGGGCGCGAGGAAGAGGAGCAGC